TCCTCAACTTTGGCATTCTCCGGCAGCCTGAATCTCCTCATGAACTTTCCACTGCTCCGCTCGATTCTGTGCCACTTGTCGTTCTTCTCCTCCTGCTCTTTCCTTCTCTCCCCACTGATCTGCAGAACTCTTCCTTCTTCAGCCTCCACTTTCACTTCCTCCTTTTTGATCCCTGGAAGATCGGCCTTGAAGACGTGGGCTTGTGGGGTCTCCTTCCAGTCGATTCGAGTGTTGGCAAAAGCAGAGGTTTCAGAAGCAGAGGAATGGGCGTTGGCCAATGCGGTGCAATTGGAAAATGGGAACCCATCGAACGGATCCCATACATCCAGCGAGAAGGGGTCGAAGATGTTGCTGCGGCGGCCACCGAAAATGCTTGGAATCAGCGACATGCTTCTTCAAATTTTGTTGAAATTGGAAGAACGCAGAGAGAGGGATAGTGGATTTGATTGATAGATCGGAATTTGGGGGAAGTGGGATTTTGTTTGCTGCTTGTGAATTTCGATGCTCTTCCATCGCTACATTTGAAGAATTTAAATAGGCGATGTAGCAGAACATGCGAGTGGTTTCTGGTGTTTTCCTTGCGATTTCTCTTGAGGGTGAAGGTTTCCACAAGCTTCTACTTCCTTCTGGACCCATTTTGGACTCTCTCTTCGTCAATAAACCAGGCCCAATCAATTATGAGCTTAACAATTTTAACTATTTTTAATTCATTCGTTTCAATGTTAAATTTAAATAGGAAAAAACTCCCATTACAAGGATTAAACCTAAACATGAATTCACTTTTATTTAATAAAATTAAAAAATTCACTTGTTTATATGCTACAGCACCACACATGAATTTAAGAGAAGCTTATTCCTGAATTAGGAAAGTTCTGTCCATTTAAATAAATGGGGAAAATTAAACCTAACTTAGAATACTACTCACAAATTTTCTATAGATGAGAAGAATGCACTTTTCTTATTCTCATAAAATAAGTAATTGTAAAAAATTTAGTGCGGGTACCAAAAAAATAATTGAGAAATTTCAATGGATAGCAATTCACATTGTCATATTTACAAATATAGCAACAAAATGACGTCATTTAACACTTATAGATTGATAGGACTATTTTAGTATGCACGTCGACACATCAACGAGACCTCCAAACACCGAAAACGTAAAAAAAATTGAACTACAAGCCTATGGCGAATTTCATATCTAATCCCAAATGAAAAGGCCCAATAACTATAGGTTGGAAATTTCCCAGTTTCAACAATGTTGGGTAGTGCAAAACAACCGTCTACAATGTAGGAGAAGCTATGTTGTTGAGATCTGAGATATGAAGTCTGATATCCAAAGCTAAGGAATCACACTTCACAACCTCACTCATACTCAAGCTTATGTAAAGACTGAGGTATTATAAGGAACTATTTTTCAACCGCTCGTCCACCACTACAAATATTACATCAAGAATCTCGCAGTCGTATGAAGTGATCAGTGAGTGAGTCCCACCTATCAACGTCTATACATATAAAGATAAACTTCATACTCAAGTAAATGAATCAGATTGCTCATCTCGAGATAATACCTCAAATTTCTACTAACTTGAACGTGAAAGCTCTCTTCTTTATTTGTGTTGATGGTCTTTACACTCTTCCGACTCATCTTCCACAAGTGATTAGAATTCAGTATTAACAACCAACTTCATTAATGTTGAATAATCTCGACGTCTCCCAAGTTTCAAAGTAGGAGCTTCCAACCTCTTCTCTTTTCTCCTTCTCCTCTCTTACAACTCCCACTAATTATAATATTAAAATTGTATCTTTTTTTTTTCGCTTTATTTCTATATATAACTTGTTATGAAATTGGCAGTTGTCACCTAGTTTTGTTTATATTTGCATAATTTTCATAATTGCCAAATAATATTTAAATTAAGAAAAAAATCTTTCAATACTTTTATGATTAAAGAAAATATATTTAGAGTCTATACTTTTATTAAGTAATAATTGGTCCCAGAATCATTCAAAACTAATGATTTAGTTCATATAATTCCTAGGATTTCATTATTTTTCTTTAGAAAGGTTTACCGACAGAGTTCTCAAAAGTGAAATATTTACTTAATATTTTATAATAGAAATAAAATGGAAATTCCAACTGGTGTAGAAAGTTGGAGAAGATAGTGGAAATTTCTAGAACTTCTGTCACACTAATTTTCAAACAAAAGGTCAGAAAAGGGAAGGGAAAATACCAGAAAGGCCGGGAATGGTCTTAGATTCTTTCATCGTATTTAAAGGCTTCAGTGTTCCTCAAATCCGCAATCAGCAACAAAACGAGAAACAAAATACCGATCCACACTCTGTGCACTCTTTACTCAAAGCTAATTTCAACAGCCAAGCAAACACAATGTCTCTGATTCCAAGCATTTTCGGTGGCCGCCGAAGCAACATCTTCGACCCATTTGATGGGTTTCCGTTCTCAAACTCGATGGGCGGCATTGCCCCTTCCTTCGCCGGCGAAGCCTCTGCTTTTGGCATCGACTGGAAGGAGACCCCACAAGCTCATATCTTCACCGCCGATCTCCCTGGGATCAAAAAGGAAGAACTCAAAGTTGAGGTTGAAGAAGGCACAGTTCTGCACATCACTGGGGAGAGAAGCAGAGAGCACGAGGAGAAGAACGACAAATGGCACAGAATCGAGCGCAGCAGTGGAAAGTTCATGAGGAGATTCCGGCTGCCGGAGAATGCCAAAGTTGAAGATGTGAAGGCCAGCATGGAGAATGGAGTTCTCACTGTCACAGTGCCTAAACTGGAGGAGACCAAGCCTCAAATCAAGTCCATCGAAATCTCTGGCTAAAATTTCTTTGTTGGTCATTGTTTGTGTCTGGCCACCGCAATGTTTGTAATTCTCAAGGTCTTTTAAGTTGTCTAATGTGTCTCCTTTCTTCTGTTAATAAAGTATAAAATAAATACTTTGCTTCATCTTTTTGATCTTTTTGACATAATTGAACTCGGAAAATACTTGAAAAACTCCATTTAAAAAGCCCAAAGAATGCAGGAACAATCCGGCCTTTAATCTATATCCTCCGTATCATGAAACCGTTCCTTATCCACCGGAATACCAAATTCCACCATTTTCTGTGCTTGATGGGAGGGGTTGTCCTAAGAGACATTTATCTTATTTCATTACTGCTGGCCGGGATACTACCACAAAATGGGTCTTTGCCATTGAGACAATTTTCCCTTTCCTTCGACAATCCTATCTATAAATGTTCATATATTAAACTTGTCATATTTAAAGATTGTATTTTCATATAACAAACTTGCAAATATGACAATTATTAACGTGTTAGGTTTATGAAGACTTCTTATTATTAAATATTTGAGAACTTACCACCATTTTTAAAAGCAATATTTCTATGGATGAGAAGTGAGGGACGAATTAAAAGAAAACACTTTAATAAGCCGAAATCTTTGGTTAAATTTCTTGGTTGGGTATCGGGTTTAAGGTATTATTGGATGTATGTATGAATAAATGTTAATGTAATAGGAGCATTTTAGTAATCCGAGTCTGCTTCTTCTTTTGTTCTTTTACTTCTATCTATTGTGCCAAACACTGAAATTAGATTGAGTTAAGAATCGGTAGCTTCTAAATGTATTATCTCTGTTAAGTTACTTGCTACCATTGTCCTTTTTCGATTTGGATGGATTTCAAAATCTTAACGAAATTTGAAATAATTTCTCGTGTTTGGATAAATAAAGAAAAAATAATTTGAAATAATGAATGATTTTGAATTCTGTTTTTGGTTTAAACATTTTCCGTTCGAAATAGGTCCAATTTGTGAGAATTTTAAATTTAAATGTAACAAATTCTGATTTTGCCCTACGTGAAAAAAATTTAGCACTCTAACATCCTTGGACATCATCAACCAAATTAGTTTCAAATTTTGATTTCTCATTAGTTCTTTTTATTCTTTTTTTTTTGCGACGGTAACAAAGATTGATTTTCTATTTTGTTTTTGGTGTATTTAAGATTCCTTATATTTCAATATTGTTTAGATTTTTATATGTTTATGTTTTTTAGGTATTTCTTTTTCCTTTTGCTTTTATTTTTTTGTATTGCATATCATAAATAACTTTGATAAAAATAAAAAAAAGAAACAAATTGTTGCGAATAAATTGAAATAATTTGATTTTAAGAATTTTTCTAGTATTTGAATAAAAAAATTTGCAAGTTTTTTTTTTAGTTTTTAAAATAAATGTGACATTGACAAGTTTTAATTTTTGTTAGGTTAATTTGATTAAGTTATTTATGTTTTTCGTAGTTGAAATTACTAGTTTATATTAAAAAAATATATTATTAATAATATAATATTCTACAAAATATTAAGGGTATAATAGTAGAATGTTATACATTTTTTTCATTTGTGGTGAACATCCCAATAATAAATTTTAATTTTAATGATTTACCATTATTTTGGTTCCAAACGCAATTAGGAATTTGAAATCATTTCATGAATTTGAAATCGTTTTCTATACATTCGAGATGCCAACATGCCAACGGAGCATGACAGAAAATTATTCAAAGCAAGACAGATTCAAGTTGGGCCTGGCCTTTAGGCCCAGATCTAACCGGCAGCCCAACTCTTGGTTCAGAACAGCGGATTTCCATATTTTCACATAAGGACATTGTTCCCTTTAAATTTAAGTATGACTTTTTTGTGGTATTTTGTTTTATTTGAAATCATACCATCCTATCATTCTGGATGTTAAATATGGGTTACTTAAATTCTCTGTAATTTGACTCAAAAGACGCTTGTAATTACAAAATCTAACAAGTATGTAATGATTTTTGGTAGAATTTAAAGTGAATACACTCTTTTATATGAGTGGTTTTTCCAAGTAAAATTTGAATGCTATTGTATGTCTATCCTTCATTCTTTTGCCATTTTAATACAAATTTTCATGATACTGGTGCAATTCCAAAAACTTCAATACATACTTTTTAACATATTTCAAATTTTGGAGGGTAAAAAGGGGTTTGCTACTTGGTGTTTTAAGATCTATATTAGTATGTTAAAAGATATTTTTCTAGAATTTCGGAGACGGTCTTGAAATTCGATCAAGAGGTGACTTCTCCATTTGGTCAAGGGTAGCATCATGCTCTAACCTTAGGGACTTGACAGTCTATTTATGTGGAATTAATTTCACAACAGCACAAGTCGGACGTCGCTGCAGTTAACTCCAACTCCCTATAAATAGAAGCATCATTTTTTACTCCAATATGCAATCCAATCTCGATTTGAGATTTAAGATCSATTGACATGAAYATTGGAGTATTTGCTTCCCACAACCAAATCCTTCCTCACCAAGCTTCTTCTAAACTTGGCTCAAGCTAGATTGGAAATCACCCTAAACATCAATCAAAACTTCGAAGTTCAATTACAATAGTCTTATCCAAACATCAATACAAATGAAATATTTGAAGTTGTTCTAATTATAATACAATTCCTACCCTAGGTTAAAGAATGGTTTCGTGGATGTGTGTGTTTCCTTTTTCTATTTTTTGAAAAATATTGAAAAATGAAAATGAAACAAACATGTTTAAGTGTCTCTGTCAAATTTGACAAAAAAATAGACATTCTTAGCAAAAAAATACTGTAGAATTATAGTAAGGGTCTTTGTGAACAGTAGAGGCTGTCCCCTACAAAGTTGTCCATATGGCATTCCACTGTCCACACCAACCCACCCATTATGCCCATCCTCAACCACTTCCACAGTGTGCTGTCTATTGTCTATCCCACTGTTTTTCCTTTACTATTATTATTGCATTGTCACACCCTAATTAAAGAATTAATCAGAGAAAAATCCTAAAATCTTTAGTATAAGTTAGATTAGTTAGGTGGGGAATTAAAAATATCTACTTTATTTTTACCATTGAACTTGGCAGGTGTGTAACTTTTTCCCTATAAAACATTAAAATCCAAATTTAGACTGGCGTTGAAAAACTTTACCTTTTGTTTAATTTCGATGCATTTACCAACTAATTTTATCTCAAAATTCAACCATTTGGATGAAAGTCAGTGTGCAATATCAAGTTCAACCAATAATGTATAAGATTGTCCGTGGAATAAATCTCCAAAATAGAGAATATTTTTTCAAATGGTTCTTCAAATAAAAACTTAAAAAAATAAAAGTTGTCATATTTATCTGCGGCCTAAGGTTGATTTAGATGAAATTGAAATTACACCCTACTAAATTTAAGGTAAGAATATATTGATCTTTTCTCCTCAATTTAATCTCCCTCGTATTTTCCAGGGTTCTTCTAATAGTGCCACTTAGACCCGCAATTCATTTTCTCTTATGAATGTCTCAATCCAATGTTATTTACATTAAAAGTGACKTGACTCATTCTTAAAATTAGTAATTATTAGATTACAAGTATGAGAAGAACATTCCACATATAATATCTTTCGAGAAAAGRTGAATTATTGAAGGAGTTGAAATATGTATGTCATACTAACCAATGAATTATCTATCATGGTTGGTTCTTTGGTCTAAAGGAACTAAGATAATTAAGAGAAGATGAGTTCAACACCAAATGGTTGCCGTCCTAGATTAGTGAAGGGACAAGCTTCTCTCTGTTTTTTTTTTTAATTGCTTATACAAATTTATTTTTATAGAAGAGACCCATTTGAATTCTAGAAGCAAAGGTACAGATATCAAAGAAAGTTTTGTAACAAGAAGCAGAATTATGGGGAAATGGGGCCTCCCATGCCTCTCACTAAGGGGAGACTTTGCTCCTCCCCAAAAACATTATCATTTCTTCTCAAAAGAGGCAGACATTGCACCAAATTGGTCACACCACACTATAAAAAATAATCAACCACAACATTCATTTACCTTGATATTCATTTAAAAAAAATCCAAAATTTTAATAGAATATAATATACCCAAAATAAATAAACAAACAAAATCAGAAATATATATATATATATATTTATTTGTTTATTTATTCATTAATGTTTACCTTGATATTCATTGATTTTTATTTATTTATTTATTTTGGGTATATATATATATACACACACGCACATGTAGTTTATGACACAATAATATTAGTYGGGGATATTTGTCACATCAACTACCTAGAATTTTATTCAAATAATTGAGGTTTGGAACCCAATATAATACTTTAACATTTATTTTGGATTYGTCTTTATATTTTGAAATATTTATCTAAAAATGCTAAAATTCAATACTAGATTGGAGGCACATAATTTGAAATATAAATTCTACTTAATTCTWTTAAAGAATACGAACTAGAATATAAAATTTAAAGATATAGATCGATTTTTTTAAGGATGAAGAAGAAAGTCTTACATTAAACACAAATATCTTGTCTTCTCCCACCAATGTAATTATTAATTGGATGAAAATTTTCAGCCACTAATTAAATGAGGTGAAATAAAATATTTGAACTTTGACTTGATTTGGTCAGAAATAATGCTTATAGTTAATAACAATGAAAAAATAAATATTATAAAAGGGGAAATCAACAAAAAGGAGTGGGTGCATATTTATATAACAAAATATTGGGAAAAATCTTCAACTTTCTTTTCAATCAAATCCTTGAGATATGAGGTGTTGTGACCATTAAAAATGTTCAATATACGAAAGATTTTACAGGGATCAGATCAGATTAGACATTACATTAATGGCATCGAAAAACTTCTCCAAATTAAGGAAAGGGAAGAAATGGTTTTTTTAATTAATTAATTTATATTATTCCGTCTATAAATTTTAAGTTAAGTTTCTATTCCATCTTTAAATTTATAATATTATATTTGTATCTTTGAAATTTAAGTTTAATTTCCATTTAGTTTATAATTTTTTATACTTTGAATTTATACTTTTATTACTGAATTTTCACTGGTGCTCACTTAAATACAAAATTATGGCTACAGAAGACG